TCGTTTGAGATCATCACTCAAGACATGACAATATATATTGTGTTCTCATTTGTAGCAAGTATTCAGTTATCAAAACTATATTTAAATTACTCTCAAAATTAATTTAATTAATTTTATATGAATTAAAAGCTTATTTAAAGTCACATCGTGTGAACCAATTGTCACTTCAATACAATCCAAATGCTTTTCTTTTGGTTTAAATACTAAATAGTAAAGTGAATTATAAAATAGTTTTATGTAAGTTAGATGTAAATCAGGATAAATATTTCTACACCTTATATCAAACATTTGGTTATAATTATTTAATTGCCATTATATAATAAAATGCGATAAAATAACAAATGCTCTGATAAATTTTATTTATAGTTACATATTAAAAGTTACATGTTAAATATGAAAGTATTTCATTAATTGCTAGTAAAATATTTATGTAAAATAATATCCATTTGAAAGCAATTGAACAATATGTTAATTTATATTTTATATAACCATTTGTTTAAATGACATTTTTAATCTACATTTATTAAATGATATTTATATATGATTTGTATTATAATGTAATTTAATTTAAAACATCCAAATTATGGCATTAATAGCCTTTTAAATTGAGTTCATATTAATATCACTGTTACTGTACTGTATATTACATTTACATAGAGTTAGTATCTATTATATGAAATTATATAATGATATCTTCGGTTGAGTACATCCATGTCTTTATGGTCTAAGAGTTATAACATCTAAGACATCAATTATTAACAGCCATTAACTCTCAAAACGATTTGATTACAATTTTCTAAATACAACTCAAATATCAGCGACTTTTAGTACACAAGTATTTCGAGTGAATCTCAAAGCAAAACTCTAATAACCATTGAATCGAAACATTATTTTATTTAGAAATTAAGTTTTATTTTTAAAAAGGGAATTTTCAAAACAACCTTTTTGTAAATTGTTTTGTAATGTAATCGTAAAGATTGCAAAACTAATTACAGAAATGATACTTAAATGCCGTTTTGCAGATGTGGGCGAAACCTTACCATAAATATACACAGATATCTATGATTTCATTTAAAAACGTAATGAAACATACATTTGTAAATATGTGTGGACTTTATCGAAATGTCACAACAGTTTTCTGACATTATATTACTGTTAGTTAAGCATAAAGTTAATAGTAAAGCAATTGTATCGAAGGGAAGTCACAAAAAAGTTTTCATGTTTCCATAACTATTGAATAAATATTTATCAACTAATAAAGGGTTTGAATAGAAATATTGCTTAACAATTAGCGAATATCTATTTGTATCGCATAACGATTATATGGAATACCAATAAATAGCAAAATGTTTGTTATGTTTGCAATGTTTGGCTAATTTATGCCATAATTTGAGGTCAAAATAATGAGCCGTTTTATATAATGTGTTGCAAATCGCTGGCGAAGAGTCTGTAAATCCGTATAAATCTGTCACTTCCTTAAGATTTGCTAAACCGATAGAAGAGGTCGTATAGGTTTGTATAGGTTTTTGCAGTAATCGGTTAAATATGTTGATAGCTTATGGCGATCGGCAGAAGCGGGTATTGAGTAGGAAGTGGACTGAAAATAGTTATGTAGATTAGGGCTCGAGAGCTAAGCGCTGCCACTTCTGTCACTTCTTCTCTTGGCTAACCTTGAGTTACATCATAACAACTCCCATCCCATCCCTTCAATATTGCCAAACAAATAACCAGTTCTTTCAGATCCCCTTCAGATCCTTCAGATCCCACATTTCAGCTGCAAATCTAATTTCTTATTTCGTTTTATCAAAACTTATCGGCGCTGTTGTGTTGTCCCATATCTTCTTTATTTATATTAATAAACATTTAATGTTTTGACTCAAAGTCTCTCACACTAAAGGACTCGCAACCCAAAGAACCAAATGTTTTATTTGGTTATTAAATAATTAACTTAAATGAATGCCAGAATTGCATAATAAGCCCACTTATGATACACACACTTGCGATGCATCCTCTCTATTGTGATCGCTCATAAAATTACACCCAATTCTCAAATAATCATTTAAATTAACTTTAGATTAGCTTTAATTTAATTGAGAAATACATTATATTTTTGAATAGTTATTACAAAACTTTGGAAAAGCGGACAAAACGACAGATGAGTTGTTCGAAGTCTATCAAAACAATTTCAATAAACAGCAAAACACAGCCAATCGGCTCCAGAAGGAGCTGAAGAACTATTATAATTGCAGTCGAGAAATGCAAACGGCCTCCAAGTCGTTGATGGAATGCGTGCAAGAGATCTATGAACAAGAATGGCCCGGACACGACCAGATCCATCTCAAGGGACAGACACTGGAACTGTTATGGGGAGACCTGTGCCACAAAATCAATGATCAATGCACTATACCCTTAAGCACTTACTTAAGCCAATTCTCTGAAATTCGGGTGAGTTTTGACGAGTAAAACAAAACAAAAATATATAAAACAAAATATATTTTATTTCAACATATTTTATCAATGATCAATGCACTATACCCTTAAGCACTTACTTAAGCCAATTCTCTGAAATTCGGGTGAGTTTTGACGAGTAAAACAAAACAAAAATATATAAAACAAAATATATTTTATTTCAACATATTTTGCATATTTTATAGTATCTTTTAATCTGAAATACTTTTAAAATAAGCCCAAGATTTAAATAAATAATATTTATTTTTACTGAAAAAATAATTACGTTTTCCCAATACTACTGAAAATTCTGTATACATTGAAAATACATTTGTTTACCAATTTTTCATAAATCACATATTTTTGACAATTTCATGATTTTTACAAACATTAATCTGAAATTATATACTGTTTTATAATTATATTTACGCCTTCACTGTTGGGTTTCCCTTTGAACCCCATTTATTACAGTAAACTTTGATATTTAACATTTTGGGTTAATTAGAAAAAACCTGATTTTAGTCTCAAATTATTTTTTTGTCATAAAATTCTTTACAAAATACATGAGAAAATGCAATAAAATTATGAGAGAAAAAGATACGAACAGTATATTATATTTGACACAAAACGATAATAACAGCAATTTGTTTGACGTGTAGAACAAAATCGCTAAAAGNTTTTTTGTCATAAAATTCTTTACAAAATACATGAGAAAATGCAATAAAATTATGAGAGAAAAAGATACGAACAGTATATTATATTTGACACAAAACGATAATAACAGCAATTTGTTTGACGTGTAGAACAAAATCGCTAAAAGAGGCCGAAAACTGGTGGACTATGACGGCTGTCGGCATACCGTCGAAGCCGTGGAGTCGACGTCCAAAAAGAGGGATGACATCAAAGTGGCGAAGGCTAGGGAACAGATGGAAGAGGCCAGACGTCTGTACGAAGTACTCAATAAGGAACTGCATGAAGAACTGCCCGCCCTTTACGACAGCAGAATACCATTTCTCGTCTCTAATCTTCAGACATTATTTTCGGCCGAAAACACATTTCACAGCGAATATTCCAAAGTGTCGGCTCAGTTCTGCGATCTCGTCGACCTTTTGGCCTCCGAAGCAGCCAAAGGCTCCTATCATACCAATGGACGCCATATTATGGCCTCTTTGCCGAACACCACTCTTTCTGTTGACACAAACGCCGTTAAGCCCTACGAAGAGATAGATTTTAAGCCAACAAATCGCGAAATCAAATCAAATCAAGATTTGCAAAGGATTTCGGTAACCAATGGAGTGACCGCTACTTCACATACCGGAGACACCGGTAATTGAACTATATTTAAGATTTTTAATTTAAATGATAACTAAATGTGTTCTTTGTTAGTTCGGGTCGACAATACATCTATTGATACGAATGAATCGCTCAATAAAATTGAAAATAACTCAGTAAGTGTACGAATTAGCATATACTTTTTAAAATATAATTCCGCTATTAAAACCATTTATTATATACCGGTATTAAGCATTTTATTGTATTGAACAAATGATCACGATATACATGTACTGTGCATGCATTTAATTAAGGCATTTTAATTTATTTAAAGTTAATATTAAATTGAGATAAGCTTGCATAATGAATATGATTATGAATATAATTTGTTAGCTCTTATCTTTACCATATTTAAGTATTGGCACTAAATTTTTAACAATAGTTTATTGTTTTTATGTTATTTTGATAATAAGAACCACATTTCTGTGATCACAATAAAAGATTTCTTGTGTTTTACATGTAATAAAAGAATTGAAACCCATTTTTCTTTTTCTCGTATTTCAATTGAAAAATGTTATCTTTTACTCATCTTTTATTGTCTTAAATGTTAGGACTTAAAAGTGTTTATCTTTTAGACAACGCTTTCTCTTAAATGCAATTCTTAATAAGGAATTTAATATTTGTTTAGATCTATCCATCTATCGATTCGACTCATATCACAGATTCTCATAAACCGGAAATAATACATGAATTGAATGAAAAGGATAAAGCAGAAGAACTCTATGATATTCCTATCGGCGCCACGACAACTGATTTACCCCCAGGAATCCTATATAAGGTATTTTATCTCTTATGTATGATTAATGTTTTTGTAAACAAAATGATTTAATTGTTTTGAATTAATGCTAAAGAAAATAAATATTTGAATTGATAATAAACTTAACAATAAGTTAGAGTTAAATAATTATAATTGAATTTGGGCTACACTTTAGGTTCGGTCGACATTCAAATACGCGGCGGTCGATGAGGACGAGCTATCGTTTGAAACGGGAGAAGTGATTGATGTGATTGACTACGAAGACCCCGAAGAACAGGAAGAGGGATGGCTTATGGGTGTTCGCGAACTGAATGGCGAGAGGGGTCTCTTCCCGGCCAACTTCACGCGTCCCATTTAGCGCACACTAAATACCCGTTTAATAGTATTGTTCTTATCTATAGTTTTAATATTCTGTGAATCATAAATGCAAAGCAATTAAGATTTAAGTCAAACAATAGGATCGAGTGGTTCGAGCGCTGCAATCAATTGAACACAAGTGCAAATATTATGTCGAAACAAAACGTTATTTTGTTTTTTTTTGTTTTATATTTTATTTCTGTGCCATTTCTCAGTTGAATATATTTTATTGCAATACTTTTTAATATAATTTTAAACAATTTTAAATTCTGAAAAATATGTATCAAAATTTTGCCGATAATTCAAATTTTAAGTTATTTTGAGTTCTACGGCCAAATTATTTGTGATGTTTTAAAATATTTTAGTTTTTGAAATTTGCTACGAAAGCTAATGATTATAATGTTTTATTATTTGCTCCCATATTATGCTAGTGTTGTTTGAAACTAAATCGCTTTTATTTATTATCTATCATTTTAATCACAACATATTTTAAACACACATTTGAATAAAAGTGTTAAACAAATAGTCTATAAATACTTAAATATCTAATTCACTAATAATTTTATTAGTAAAGAATTTTAATATATTTTAATAATTTTCTTCACATTTAATATAATGATATCTATTATTAAATGTCTTAAAGATTTTCATAAATTCTCTAAGAAATGGCAAAAAATTAATGATTTTATTTTGTTTTTATTTAATTTTTATTTCAAAGTAATTTTATTTTTAAAAATAGGTTCAAAAATCCTTTGCTATTATGTATTCACTTATGAATTATTATTTCATCGAATAATGAATAAGTGTTTTAAGAATTTTGTTGAAATTATTTCCAAACAAAAAAGTTTTATCTGTTTATTGAAAATGTTATAAAATTGCGAATAATTTCAATGTGTTTGCCGTTTAAAGTAGAAACACAGCAAATATGAGTTTCTAGTCGTTTGAAATATAATTTTGTTTAATTAATTAATTTGATTAGAAAAATAACACAAACGACACGATCAGACAAAATAAATGGCTCACAGCTTAGAGACTGTCGGATGTCTTATCATTGCCCTCCCTATTGCTTGCAAACTGAATGTTACCATTGAATGTACCATTGAATGTACCATTGAATTAGCGAAACAAACTAACATTCAATTCACTTTCATTTCCTGATTCAGTAAATTAGTTATATTTGTGATAAAATTGCAATTTTGATATCATATGAAATACCATATAAATTGTCCTCATTTTTCAAAATTATATTCAATTACATAAACACTAAACTAATCGCTAATATAAACTGAAGTCAATGTATATCTGTCTTCCAAATAGATGTCCTAACAATGATTTACTATTTTATAAATCATACAAAAAGCCGACAAATGATATCACATAACGTATAGTAATTAATAGGACAGACAGTCTGTCAATGCAAACAAGAAAAGCACTTCTCTATCGATGCGTTCAGACCGTGAGCTATGAATTGATGAAAAGAGTGTATACACAGAATGGACGGGCATTTATATTGTGCCACAACTTTATAATTAAATACCTATTATTGTTATATTCTTCCATTCAAACCATTATAAAGTCCGTCCATTGAAGCCATTGTCTGATACGAAGCCCATTATTTCCAAAGGCTCATAAGGCTGTGCACACAATTTAGACCCTAATTATATACACTTTTGGGATTACATTCATAATTGATATCAAATTTAAATGGTATTCTTGTAACTATGCTGAAAAGGCCTCTCCTATTAGTTATGGAAAACAATTTTGTTATTAAAAATGCATTTTAATAACCGATCATTTCTTTTGCATAAATTATTTAAAAGCTTTGATAAAAATGTAATAAAAAATTATTGATTAAAAATTATATTGTAATTAACGTAAACAATAACTGAACGAAAGCCTTAACTATAATTATACACTTTCTAATCGATAACACGAGTATTAATTTCTATAATTAAACAATTAATAATATATAATGTATTAAAATTTGGTGTCTATTTATTTTAATTCAAATTCAGTTAAAATCTTTTGAAAATTTTTAATTCAAAATAAAGAATAATTTTATTAAACATTTTGTTTTTTAATTAATAATTAATATTTCTTATGATACATGAAAATGAAATTATATTTATATATATTTAAAGTATTTATAGATTTGGAAGAGATTTATATTAGAAAACAACTAAAAGTCCTAAACGAGACTCTCTTCCAAATCACATCACATTTCTGACACTTCTCTCTAATTTATGGTTAAATGTAATTCAGTTAACGTTGAGTTTGTGTGGTATTTGAGTCAGTATTTCGGGGCAACAAATAAGGATTCATTGCGTTTGTATTCACTATTGAGAAGACATTGATTGCTACACTTTTTAAGTATAGCTTTTGGTATTAATACTGAAAACTACTTTTGATTAAATCAAATCAATTTCACTTTCATTTGAAACAATAATTGAGAATCAATTCGAAAGTATCAGAAGAAGTGTCAGAGAGTGAGAGGGTATTCGATGTTGGGATCAATTGAATGGGAGTTATATTGAATAGGATTTGCACTTAAATGTCATTTTGATTAGAATTAGGGTTTTGTTTGTATTACTATTACTGTATTGTTAAGAATCGTAAACATTATTCATACAAAAAACGATAAAACCATTGATTAAAACCATAAACTTATTGTCTGATAGTTTGTTCATTTGGCGATCCGTTAAGTAATCACTGGTCGGGTGTGGAGTGGAAAGGGATGTCTCGCTCTCTAGCAATGCGTTCGAGTCTTTCGTTATCACATCTCAATTTCTGGTTCTCTTCGGCGAGTGTTTGCAGTTCTTGTTGTAAAACAAGTGTCCGTTTGTGGACATCGGTGTCGTCGGATCCACTCGAGTGGAGGTCGTGTGCGTACCGTTCAGTTTGCACTTCACTATCACATGTAGTCCTCGCAGTGGGTTCAGACTCTTTGAGCCGCTTCTCGAGATCTTCGACGCGGTCTTCGAGTTGAAGGTATTCGTCGACCAATTGATTCTTTGTCATCTGCGACAACCTCTCGGCGTGGATGTGATCGTACGCCTCATCGAACTGCTGCTGCAGATAATCAGATTCGTCTTCGG